ATTGAGAGTTTTCCTAAGAATGTTCTGTCTTCTATACTGCAGCTCCCTTCTCCCTGTTTTCCCCTCTGACTCCAGTGGAAGGTGCATATTACACTCACGATGCTGAGTGATGTAGATCTGAACAGCAATCTCTAATCTCTGCACAAACTTTGAGCACTTTTGAGCAATCTCACACAACTTTACTGCCTAGCTTGCCCTTGATGTCTTTCTTTTTCTGGGTTGGGGTTTTTTTTTGGGGGGGTGGGGTTTCCCTGTTGGAGAAAATAATGGCTCTCTGTTTTGATGAAGATTGCAGGTGTCGATTAAGGTGAAGTCAGAACATCTTCAAAGCAGCTATTTTAAACTAAGTCCGTATTAAAATGAATGCACAGTTCAAAAAATAATTGCCGTTTTACCATTAAACCAAGTAGCATTTCTAATCTATTGCTGTGTCCTCTTTACCCTAGTGAAATGCATTCATATTGAATCCTGCTTGATCTGTTACTCTATATCTAACTTCACTTCAGATATCTGAACAAACTGAGAGCTACACTTGGATGTACAGCAGATAATTATTGCTAAAACAATGTTACTAACATTTATACACAAGCGTTTCCTTACCTGTAGCATCTGGACAAATGTGATTTGTTCTGCTCTGTGGTTTTGATTAGGGAAACCTTATTAGAAAGTTCTGTGTACTTTCTCAGACAACAGGCAAAACAATGAGCTATTCCACACTGTTCAGCTCCCCACATTCATTTGCTTTTAAAGAGAAAGTTTTCTGTGCAAGTGTCTGAAGAGACACTGTTTTGATTGCCAACTGACAGTACAAAAATTAATCCCAAGTATAAATCCCCAGAGTTCCATACTTGAACTCTGGGGATCATTCCAGGAAGTAAACACCACTGTATTCTGAAATTGACTTGACATTGTAGATACAGGGCATTGTACTTACTGACCGTAATCCATATGGGTTTCTTTTCTGTTAAACATGGTATCCTCCATCACTTTCCCCTTTATGCCTTCCCTGCCTCCCAGATTTTCCTTGCCTCCAACAGCGTACAGAACTTTTTGTTTCTAAGATACTAGCGTAGGATAAATCCTACTGTTAGGAGTTGCTAAATCCAGTATCTCACTGCAGTACAACACTGCTGCAGCTTCATGTCCCTATGTTCAGCCAAGTAGTGAGGCTGAACATGTGTTTTCCAACTGGCACACGTACATATGCCTGCATACACACATACATATGCCCTGTCACATAGATCCACACTGACTGAAAACAAAGCTCTTGCACAAATACAAACAGTGCGAAGAGCCTTGATTCTGTTCCCTTTCAGGCTAATCAGGATGAAAGGCACTAGGTGGAAAATATATACATATGTACACACAGAAGCCATATGGGTCACATCAGTAGCTGACCTTAGACAGCCTATCAAGTACTTGGCCACAGGATCCCATGGTCTCTCAACTGCCTCCGGTACAAACCACACACATGCAAATAAGTCTCTTCAGTAGCTGTTCCAGACCTACAAACTTACCAGATATGCTGGTCTCTCCTACAGCTGGCTTGGGCCTCCCAGTTTCTCTGGTAGCTGACTCTCAGACCCCCTGGTCTCTTCAGTATCTGTCCCAGACCTACAGCTACTCCAGTGCCTGGGTCCCAAGCCCCTTATTCTACTTGATGACTTGCCCAGCTTGATGCTCACTATCCGTTGTACACACTGACATACACACCCTCATAATATGTGCACACTGCGGTCTCCACAGCTGCTGGTGTCGCAGGTCCATGGTCCCATATGGCCTGGGGTCCCTTTCCAGTTGCTGGCACTTAGACCTTACACACAAGGTAGAGATGTCCTCACTCAGGAAAACAGAAGTGGAGTTTGAAAAGAAGATGGAACTGATTGTGGTGATAGCATGGGAAAATCAGGATAAACAGCCACCTGTAGTGTATCTGGATTCTGGGTTTTATTTAACAACCAACAAGATTAGCCCCTACTTGATTGTTTATCTCTCTCACACGCACACACGCACACACACCCCCATACAAGTGAGCTGATGAAGTTCAGCACATACACAGTGCTACAATCCAGAGACTGCAACTTCCCTTCCCAGCAAGGAGGTTACTGCAAGTCTGGGAAGGTCAGTTGCATTGGTTCCTGCTGTGCAGTTGCTTGCCATTACCAGTTTTGGAGATTGTTGGTCGCTGGGCATCCCCTGGCATTTGTCTCCATGCAGCTCTCTGCTCTCCAAGATCTTCCTCCACTTTCAGGATATTTCATCCAGCCGGGAATGTCACCTTTTTCTTTCTGGGTCCCCTTCTTCTTTTCAAGATCCCTTCATTTTGGGAACCCTTCTTTTTGGCATCACCACTTCTTTCTGGAACCCCAGGGCCCCAGTTTTCCCAATAAATTGTCAATGTGAGTAGTAGAATGAATGATCAGCCTCCTAATTAATGGTTCTGTCTCCTATCTCTCTATTAACTGTAGGATTCAGAACATGTCACATTTGTTTATTTCAGGTGTTAACAAAATTCAAACCCAGCCCATATGGCTTGCAGTTAGCAAATAGCAGGGTTCTCCTTGACAGAATTCAGTTTCAGACACACACACACAAATTGCCATACACATGCACCCAGTCATGTGTTGCTTGTTAACATTTACAGTTTAAGTACAGTTTAAGCTTTTTTTTTTTTTTTTTGCCTATGGCATGTTCAGACAGACACAGGGTATGACCAAAGAAATGCATTCCTCCCTCCAGTCTGTGAGGTGAGCAGGGGAGAGTCAATATTTGTCTGGTGGGTCTCATATGCAGAAAACATGGTCGATGCCCCTCCTGTGATAGCCCTGGGATCCCCCATCCATGATAGCCACATCAGGGTGCTCCGTTGCCTCTGCCCAGGTTACTGGGGTTCCTCTGCCTGCCATTGCTCCTTTGTACTCCTTTGTGTTTGTGGAGATGAACCCTTAACCACACAATC